TGTAAGAAGAAAATAGTTTTTACTATCATTTGTCATGGATTAGCACTAGTTGTTTTAGTGAAATTTACTTTAATCCTAAATTGAATTGTTGTTATTTTTGACAAGAGGGTTTATAATACACACATTCACATACACAACGAATAAGCAAGAGCAAGAGAAGTAATGAAATAATTTGATAATGTCAGAAACAAAGTTTAAAAATCAGAGACAAAGCAGCTACTTGCCACATCAGAAGGAAGATGAGCAAAAAGTCAAGAGTTCTAAGATTCTAGAAGAAAAAGAGCTTACTGTAGTAACACAAAGTTCTCTGAGGAGTTTAAGGCACCTTTTACTAAGATACTCACTGTAGAAACTGGAACAACTCCATGAAGGTGAAGAGACTGGGTAGATCAACGAAGACTGGAAAACATCCTCAAATCAAGAAGTGAAGTAAAGAAAAAGAAACAAACTATTTTCACTAGATAGATCATGTAGTTTTATAAGACTGTACAACATATGACAGCGACCATGGTATGTCCCGGGGTTATGCTGAGCATTTCGGCCAAGATACAGCTTTCAGACTAATAGACCATAAACATTGCACATATGTGTAGAGAAATACTAAAGAAACATTAATTCTAATGAAGATAAACAGAATTAATGTTTCTTTAATGATCCATTGGGAGGCCTGGTCATGGACTGGGCTGTGGGGATGTTGACCCACAGAACACCCTCCAGGAGCTTACATGAGTGCTGTCAAATGTCTTCCAGCCTTGTAAATTATGTACGGGTTTTTGACACAAATGGTAATTTCTTTACTTCATTCTTCGATGTAATGATGTTTGCCAGTCTTCATTGGTCTTCTTAATCTCAACGTCTTTATGAGGTTCTTTACTGGCTGAGCAAGACGGAGTACCAATAATGGGACCTGATAATTCTCTCTGGGTGCTGAAAGATGCTTTGGAAGCCTTTTCTGCAATATTACAAAAACATCTTCAATAGGTCACTGGAAATGAGGCAAGTGGCGAAGGAAATTCGGAAAACGGTGAATGTAATGCCAATATTCGAACAAGAAGATAGAAAAGAAGGCTGGACTATAAAATCTGTTTTTTTTTTTTACATGCATATTCTCCAAGGTAATGGAGATGATGATCAGTAGGAAAATGGTGGAGAACCTGGGCAATTAAGGATACATGCAAGAACCAGCTTGGGTGTAGAGAGGAAAAGTCTTGTCTTATAAACCTGCTGAGTTCTAAGACAATGATAGAGTTGCATCAGGAAAGACAATGGTATTACATGAGATACCTGAAGAGACAGTGTGAAGGTGAGGATGAAGCATCAGCATTGACCCACAGTTAGTACAGAGACAACACTGACTTTCCCAACACTGATGGTCCAGAACCTCTTATAATCCATGCAAATTTACGAGCAGGAACTTGAAATTCCTGCGGCGGCCAGACTAGTTTACTTGGTGGCCCACAGATGCCGGTGAGTGTAGCCGTGCTCACTTGGATTGTTTACACTGCACCTGCTGGTGGGGGATACCCCAGTTCTGTGAGTTTCTTAACTTATTTTGATTAAATTAACCCTACCTATGGCTTGTAAGGGAGATGAGAGGGAGACTGATGGTGTCAAACAAACACCAGTCTGTATCAATTCAAGAGAAAGTTGAAATGTTGAGAAAACTGGACCGTGGTGCTTCAGTGCATAAGATCTGTGAAGATTATGGTCTCAGTAAATCAACTGACCACCCCTAGTCTGGACAAATCAGTAATCCGGAAAGACTTTGGAACCAAAGGTTCTGGAAAATTGATGTTGTACCTTACCGGGATAAATAATCTTCCTTACACATGTAAATGACATATCAGAAGAGATAAAAGTCCTATATTTTGCTGCTTGCCCTTGATAAGCTAATGACAATGACAGTGGGAGAGAATATGAAAAACCTTCACAAGGAGACTGCAGGGATGGTCTTTATATCCTACAAGTGCTGAGTTAAGTATATCAAGGAAGGTGAAGAGGACAGAACTGACTGGGAAGGACAGAGACTACAAACCTTCATCAGTATGTCAGAAATACTGTTAGAACAAAGACAGGTTTCAAAGCCAGGAGCTGTGACTTGATGTTTGCAGCCACATACAGGTGAGAAGCTGAGCAGCTTCTTTATACAAGTGCTGGATCAACCTTCAAGTCTTGGTTCATCAGGTGGTTAACAAGGAAACCTGGTTCACCAGGTGGTTGACAAGGAAGGCTGGTTCACCAGGTAATCAACAAGGAAGGCTGGTTGACCAGGTAATCAACAAGGAAGCCTGGTTCACCAGGTGATCAACAAGGAAGGCTGGTTGACCAGGTAGTCAACAAGGAAACTTGGTTAACAAGGAAGCCTGGTCCCAGGCCAGGCTGTGGAGGGGGGGGGGGAGTGAAGGGGTTAGAAGAGCCTGTGAAGCCAGTCATAGGTATGGTAAAGGTTGGGGTGTAAACATAGCAACAAGCATATCTTAGGAGGAGCATATTGAGAGAATAGTGAGGGAGGAGCATGGATGCCTAGCAGCCTTGACAAGCCAGTAACCTCAGCATAAAAGCATTCTTAACCCTCTACATCAGGAGTCGGGAACATTTTGGAGAGAAAGGCCATGCAGTCTTTGGAGGAGGGCCATGTTATTAAATGTAATATAAAAAAAAATTCTTGAACTCCAGGTTGCCATTAGTTTTTTAAACCAATTTTGGCCTAATTCTAACAATACTTAGCACAATTTATCACAAATTAAATAAACATTATTATCGAATGCAGATACCTACTGTACAGTTGTTTTACCACCAGACAACAAACTCAAATGAAAAACTCTCAAGAGGGAGGATATGAAGTAACTTTTCCAGGGACTGCCTAACCTTGAAGTGAACTATTGCATCTGTATTTGATACTAATTAGATAATTAGTGTCCAGGTGTTAAGTTGGCAGGCCGGACGAAAACCTCACACAGGCCGGGGGTTGCCGACCCCTACTCTACATGATGTATGTTAGACCTATCATAGAGTATGTAGTACTCATACCCCTATACACTGTGTGACCCCTATGGATTTAACATCCCCCCCCCCACTCCCATGAATAAAAATAATAATAATAACCTCCTACCACACCTGAGTCATTTAGAAAGATGGTTTCAGAACAAAAGCAGAGGCATTAGGGTTTAGTCAAAACAGTATGGAGATAAAATGGCTAATGAGAGCATAAGGCATGGGTCGAAGAGGTATGGGGTAGGTTTAAAATTGTAGTGTTAATTTTCAGCGAAGTTCGTGGTTACAGGAAAGTGGGTGCAGGAGGGAGAGGAGCGATTGGTGGAATGATGATGTAAAGAGAGTAGAAGGGAGTAAAAAGTTAGCATAGAGAAGTTTTACAAGAGTTAAATGGTCAAGGGATAGTATAGGAGAAAAAGAGAAAGTAAGAGAGTGGTGAAAATGTAAAAGAGCAGCAATGGCAGTGGTGTGAGTAGTGTTATCAACAAATTTTGTTGAAAATAAGAAAAAGTTTTGAGTAGGATTAACAAGTTTAAGAAGCCTAGTGAACAAATGGATTTGTCAGTAAAAATAGGAGGAGAGTTTTAAATGGGGAGTTAGAGGTATTGGGAAGATGGAGGAATATTTAGGAATTGTTAAATTTGATGAAGATAGGAGCTGAGTTTACGTGTTAGGCAAGGAGGAAAACAACATTGTAGGAGTGAGAAGACCAGTTGTGAGTGTGGGGGAACTGTTGAGCAAGGAGTAGTAAATGAAAGGGGTAAGGCACAGGGATTGATGGATAAGATAGAAATGTTTAAAGCAGTGGGGAATAGTTATTGGAGTGGTTGATGCAAATTTAATAAATGTTAGGAAGAGGTAAGGTACCTAGGGATTGGCAAGAGCATGCAAGTTCCTTTGTAAAGGCAAAGGGATAAAAGAGAGTGCAAAAATTATAGGGGGATAAGTCTGTTGAGTGTACCGGTAAAGTGTATGGTAGAGTTATAATTGAAAGAATTAAGAGTAAGACGGAGAATAGGATGCAGATGAACAAGGAGGCTTTAGGAAAGGTAGGGGGTGGTGGACCAGGTGTTTACAGTGAAACATATAAGTGAACAGTATTTCTCATACCCCTTCACTTGTCCCCTTGGATTTACATCCCCCCCCCCACTCCCATGAATATAATAATAATAATAACCTACCTGCAGTCCACACCTCATTTAGAGAGAGGTAATTTGCAAAATTGGTTCCAGGAGTGGAAGTCAAGTAGTTGACAGTGTTTGTTCCAGGACTAGAAGTCAGGCAGTTTACAACACTGGTTCCAGGGCTGGAAGTCAGGCAGTTTACAACACTGGTTTCAAGGCTGAAAGTTTGGTAGTTTACAATTGTTCCAGGGCTGGAAGTCCAGTAGTTTACAACACTGGTTCCAGGGCTGGAAGTCATGTAGTTTACAACACTGGATCTAGGGCTGGAAGTCATGTAGTTTACAACACTGGTTCCAGGACCAGAAGTCAAGTAGTTTACAACATTGGTTCCAGGACTAGAAGTCAAGTAGTTTACAACACTGGTTCCAGGGCTGAAAGTCAAGTAGTTTACAACAATGGTTCCAGGGCTGGAAGTCATGTAGTTTGCAACACTGGTTCCAGGGCTATAAGTCATGTAGTTTGCAACACTGGTTCCAGGGCTTTAAGTCATGTACTTTACAAAACTGGTTCCAGGACAGGAAGTCAAGTAGGTTGCAACACTGATTCTAGGGCTGGAAATCAAGTAGTTTACAACACTGGGTCCAAGGCTGGAAGGGCTTACATATGACGATAGGATACTAAGCCTGATGACTTTAGAGAAAAGAACAAATAAAGGGGACATGATAACATAGAAGATACTCAGAAAACCTGATATAGAACACAAGGAGGCACATTGTTGAAAACAGACATTACAAACAAGTGATGTTTGAAATTAGCTCTGCAGCCTCAGAGTTCTTAGAAAGCAGAATAACTTAGATGAAGTAATTAACTTAAATTTCATAGACAGTTTTAAAGGTCAGAATCCTTGAGACTAGTCGTAAGAGGGTTAAGAAGCAGGGCCAGGAGCCAAGACACAACCCCAGCAACAGAGGAATTCACATGCAGCATATTAAGCCCATCTTGGAGTATGCAGCACCAGTATGGAACCCACCCCTGAGGAAGCATTTTAAGAAGCTGAAGAAAGTGCAGAAGTATACAACTAGACTAGTCCCAGAGTTAAGGATTATGAACTACGAAGAGGAACTGAATCTAACAACTCAGGAAGACAGAAGGACCAGAGGAAACTTGAAAACAACATACAAAATATTCAGTGGAATTGATAAGGCAGATAAGGACAGGTTGTTTGAGAGGCAGGAAATAGGTATTCAGGGGCACAACTGGAAGTTGAAGATGTAGTTGAGTTGCAGAGATGTCAAAAAGTATTTCTTCTGTCTCAGGATGAAGAACTGGTGGAGGCAAGACTACATACATAGTTTTAAGAATAGGTATGAGAAGACCCATAAGGCTAAGAGAAAATGACTCTGGCAACCACCAAATTGAGAGGCAGGGCCAGGAGCTTAGACTCGACCACAAACTACATATAGGTAAGTACATACAAGTACACACACTGATCATTGGATAGCAAGACACTGGGAGACTTAGCTTGGCATGTTATTTCATCAAACATTAAAAATATCAGGCGAGCCTAACACATCACTGATGCCAATGCATAATTTATTGTAATAAATGATTCATTTGGAAGTACGGTGTGTGTACATGTAGAGTATATTTAGTGTTACACAAGACAGCCATGACTACACTCTGACAACACAAAGTTCTGTAACTGTCGTAATTTACACTGGTTATAGTTTATATACCAAAGTAACTTACAATGTTCTCTTAAAATGTTAAACCTGATAAGTATCAGCCTTTATTTGCTGCATTTCATAGATCTTTCTCATTGTTCACTGCTCTGCTACCTCTTAACATGCTACTTGTACAATCAGCTGCAGATTATTACTTAATAGTTTGTCAAGAGTGCTACAATAGTCCATGAACATGGATGCTCTTATATAAATGTAGTTTTGAATTTCATCTATGTAGTGTACAGAGATGAGGTTGCTGGTGCATTAGATAGGTTGGTAGAGAGCAATCATCCAGGGTGATATTAAAGACCCATCTTACCTGTGGACAACACTGATACAATGTTATACAAGCTGCAAGCATTTGCTGTTTTTTCTTTCTGTCTTATAGATACATATGAAGATATGTGAATATGATATTTTTATTTTTTTTTTTATTATCACACTGGCCGATTCTCACCAAGGCAGGGTGGCCCGAAAAAGAAAAACTTTCACCATCATTCACTCCATCACTGTCTTGCCAGAAGGGTGCTTTACACTACAGTTTTTAAACTGCAACATTAACACCCCTCCTTCAGAGTGCAGGCACTGTACTTCCCATCTCCAGGACTCAAGTCCGGCCTGCCGGTTTCCCTGAACCCCTTCATAAGTGTTACTTTGCTCACACTCCAACAGCACGTCAAGTATTAAAAACCATTTGTCTCCATTCACTCCTATCAAACACGCTCACGCATGCCTGCTGGAAGTCCAAGCCCCTCGCACACAAAACCTCCTTTACCCCCTCCCTCCAACCTTTCCTAGGCCGACCCCTACCCTGCCTTCCTTCCACTACAGACTGATACACTCTTGAAGTTATTCTGTTTCGCTCCATTCTCTCCACATGTCCGAACCACCTCAACAACCCTTCCTCAGCCCTCTGGACAACAGTTTTGGTAATCCCGCACCTCCTCCTAACTTCCAAACTACGAATTCTCTGCATTATATTCACACCACACATTGCTCTCAGACATGACATCTCCACTGCCTCCAGCCTTCTCCTTGCTGCAACATTCATCACCCATGCTTCACACCCATATAAGAGCGTTGGTAAAACTATACTCTCATACATTCCTCTCTTTGCCTCCAAGGACAAAGTTCTTTGTCTCCACAGACTCCTAAGTGCACCACTCACCCTTTTCCCCTCATCAATTCTATGATTCACCTCATCTTTCATAGACCCATCCGCTGACATGTCCACTCCCAAATATCTGAATACATTCACCTCCTCCATACTCTCTCCCTCCAATCTGATATCCAATCTTTCATCACCTAATCTTTTTGTTATCCTCATAACCTTACTCTTTCCTGTATTCACTTTCAATTTTCTTCTTTTGCACACCCTACCAAATTCATCCACCAATCTCTGCAACTTCTCTTCAGAATCTCCCAAGAGCACAGTGTCATCAGCAAAGAGCAACTGTCACAACTCCCACTTTATGTGTGATTCTTTATCTTTTAACTCCACGCCTCTTGCCAAGACCCTCGCATTTACTTCTATGATAATGGTATATAATACTGATAAATTGATGAGTAAGACACAGGTGCAACAGTTAGGTATATGCATTCCAAAACAGTAGAGAAGGCAGTAATGTGAAGATGATGTAATCAGTCGAAACACCCTTAAAGACAGTTTTGAGGTGGTTAGTTCCTCAGCCTCCAGGCTGATTAACTGACCACCTCATATGTCAGGCTGATTGAATGACATCCGAGGATAGGCGAGTCTGCAAACCTCCCATAATTACGTTAATTCTATACCTATATGTACATTCCTGAAGACCTAGGTAGTAGGTTGGTAGACAGCAACTGCCCAGGGAGGTACTACTGTCCTACCAAGTGAGTGTAAAACGAAAGTCTGTAATTATTTTATGTAATGGTAGGATTGCTGGTGTCTTTTCAATCTCATAAACATGCAAGATTTCAGGTACGTCTTGTTACCTCTACTTACACTTAGTTAACACTACACATGCATGTATGAGCATATGCAGTGGAACCTCAAATATCGAACTTTCTTTGGTCCAGAAGGCTGTTTGAGTGCCTTTACCGAATGAATTTATTCCCATGAGGAATAATGTAAATTAGGTTAGTCCATTTCAGACCCTCAAAAATACACTTATAAAAGCACTTACAAAAATACACTTACATAATTGGTTGTGTTGGGAGCAGTTCGATTTTTGAGGTTCCACTGTATATACACACACCCCTCTGGGTTTTCTTCTATTTTCTTACTAGTTCTTGTTCTTATTTCCTCTTATCTCTATAGGGAAGTGGAACACAATTCTTCCTCCGTAAGCCATGTGTGTCGTAAGAGTCGACTAAAATGCTGGGAGCAAGGGGCAAGTAACCCCTTCTGTATGCATTACTAAAGTTAAGAAGAGAAACTTTTCGTTTTCTTTTTGGGCAACCCTGCCTCGGTGGGAAACGGCCGATTTGTTGAAAGAAGATGTGCATTCCAGTTTTGTTAAATAGTTTTATTTCTATAATAATTTCTTTTCAGTTAAGGAGGCTTTGTCTGAGACTAGGCTGTAGATAAATGATACCCAGAACCATTAAATGATAATAGACACTTACGTGTTAATATCTTTGAGTGATTGTGAATGATATGTTAAAATTAAAACAGTATAATATAATAAGGTCCTCCTCCACTGTCTTAGCAGAACAGTGCAATTCTAGGTCTCGCTGTGCCAATGTTCGTAGAAGTGCGAGACTGACGATTATGTGCCAAAGAAGAATAACTTTATTTTAGTTATGTTAGAGCAAGCTTTTATTATTATAAAAAAGTTTTGTTCCATGTAGAGCTACATAAAGCTAAACTTATCACAGTAAAAGCTTGCTCTCTGTTTGTCTTTTCTTTAACACCTGCCAGGTCTTTTTTTTTTAAAGGAATATTTATATAAATTTTGAAAATATTGTTATGGTATAATTTCAGTTTAAATTGTGGGGCTCATAACCTCTGAGAAGACTCATACATAGCCTCTGAGAAGGCTCATACGTAGCCTCAGAGAAAACTCATGCTTAGCCTCTGAGAAGACTCATTCATAGCCACTGAGAAGTAGATAAAAAGACTTAGAGGAAAAACATTCAGACTTCTTCCCTAAGCCATTTGAATATTCCACTTGCCCTACCACCCCAACTTTTCTAACAGCACAAATACGTTTATTTTATTTTGTAATGTGGTAAACAAAGATTAATGGATACAGTGATGGAACAAAGACATTGTACTGTACAATACACAAGGTTTTCAGTTGTCAGAAATTTCTGCATAGTGGCCTGTATGTTTTTTCAGGTAGATGTGAATGATAAGTCCATTCTTTCCCTGGGAATGATGATGTGTATTCATAATACTCTGTACAGTGGACCCTTGGTTTTCGTGTTTAATCCGTTCCAGAGCCATTGGCCAAAACCGAAACCATTTTCCCCATAAGAAACAATGTAAATGGAATTAATCTGTTCCAGACACCCAGAAGTAGCAACAAAAATTTTTTTTTTACTTTAAATATACATGCACAAAAGAATGAACATTAAACATGACACTTGCCTTTATTGAAGGCTGTTGTTACTGGAAGGAAGGGAGAGGGAAGATAGGTATTGCTTAGAGGGGAAATCCCCCTCCACAAGGACTCTAGGTACCAAGTCCTACCTGGGGTCACTTCCCTCCTTTGTTTTTTCTGATTGTTGATGGCGACTTCCCGTACATCCTGCCGAGTTCAGCAATGCGTATGCCACTTATTATATTTTCTTAGGATTTCTTTTTTCTCTTCTACAGTTTTCTTCGCTTTCTTTATCAAAGCACTGGCATCAAGAGCTTTCTTTGGGACCATAGTCGCTTATTTAGCAGTCACACATGATAAACAAGTGGTAAAAACAATGGATTATTATGAAATGTTTCATATGACCTGGCAGGATATGTTTACACTGGCTGAGAATGTGTGCAGGAGGCAGCTTTGTCTGGGGACTGGACAGGTTCCATACGATCAGCGAAAACTGAAGCCAAAAATCGACGAAAAAAAGTCAGCCAAAACCGAAATCGGTGATAACTAAGATCGATGAAAACCAAGGGTCCACTGTACTATATTACATATATTTTTCAAGTTACAGTTAAAAACCTGGTGAGCATTTTTTGAGTAATAGTTTTAGCCTCCCAGCTCACACTTACAGCCTTACAGTACTGCAGTTTGCATTTTCCCCTCTATAACTAGTCTTAACTGTGGCCCATTGTTAGCAGTGACAGTCATTATTATGCAGACCATCAGAATCATATTAATTAAGCCAGCTTTTTTATACAAATCACAACCTGTCAATAAGATTATGTACACAGAGAGGTCTGTTACTCTTTCTCTCTTCGGGTATATATGATGAATATTTTAATTTCACTTTTATGGATTCGAGTATTTTTGATGGGTGGTTACCAGGTTGTATGCAGGCTTAGGAGAAGTATTGGTGTGGCAGTATAGTTTTGGATGAGTAAAAGGAAATACCAGTTAGCATTATTGAGGTAAGAACTTTGTGTAGTTTTAA